GTGAAATCCACATCGGGGGTCTGTCTGGTACGGGTCAGTATGTGTCAGCCGTCCCTCCTTCACGATCCTCCTCTCGACAAGGGTCGGATGCAGGTCAGAGGTGTCCGGCTTTGGTTAATTAATAAAATTATACAATGTTTAAATGCCATTTAGCCAACTTGCCAAAAAGCAAGAGAGACTGACTGGGTCAAAAATGGAACAGAAAGTGCGTAAGTGTGCAGTGCGGAATGAGGAATACATATGTGTGCACTGGGAGACGAACCACTGCTAAATACAGCAGAGCCCAACATAAGGTGAACTGCTTGGGTCAAAATTGAGCAGGGTGCCAAATTCTAAAGGACAACAGACACGCCTTAAGGAAAACCTCAATCGGATTATAATCAAATTAGTGCAGTGATATACCACATGTCTGTCTCAGAGCGCTGAACATGCTGTAAGTTTCATGATTACAAATATTAGTGTTATGATCAGAAGTGTAGTAACAAGTTTTTTTTTTGAGAGCACAAACCGAAATGGGTAAGTGTGGTCAGTTTGACAGAGCGTTCAGTGGTTGGTGTATTTTGTATTTAGTAACACGTGGACAAGGATTAGAAGCTTACGCTGATTTGCTGGCCTCAGTGCTGCACTGCCCTGGCCTGTCTGGACAAACCTGGAGAGGACAAAGACTAACCAAGGGTTACTGTCCATTGGAGCAGAGTGTGTAACTCTTCCCTTTTAAATCTAAAAGTTTTAGTCTACCCTGTCATCTCCTTCCAGTTTATCATAAATATCTACGGCATTTCCTGTATGTTCACTGTTTTGGTCACTTAAATGTTTCCCTGCATGTTTTGATGTGGCACTGGGTACACTACATCAATCATTTTCTGAAGCACAGAATTTTGATGCCTAGATACTTTATTGCAAAATCATGTCCTTGAATCCTTGAATTATAAACCACACACACAGTTCTGTAGGCATCACAGGCCTCGTGGGCTGGTCTGAAGTGTTTCTGCGTTTCCTGCAGGTGGATGTGGTTTGTGGAGATCACCTCCTAGATCACTACCAGTCTCTCAAAGACATTCAGAACTCTGTTGGCGAAGAGGCGTTACAGGTAAGCACCACAAAAACACACAGTAAGAACAAAACACAATTTTAATAGTGGACGTTTTGTAGAATGCCTGGAATCCTTTTGAGTGATCCTTTTGATCTTGTTTCCGCTTTGCTCCAGGATGGTCTGTTGGTGCTGCACTTCGGCTTGGTCCTGCCCTCCCAGTCTTGACTACAAGAGATGGATAGACTTTGTTTCTCTTTATCAGACTCATCATAATGTGGAGTAAAAGTTCTACGTTAGCATTATAACTGCTCCGCAACTTAAATGGAACTACGAAGTGTAACAGTGATGTAAAATGTAACCCTGAACTCCACTGTTCACACTATAGCATTACATTTTTCATCTTGTTGTCAGGGAAACACATGTCCCTGCTGGACATGCATTTGATTTACTGAAGTGCCAGCATGTAAAAGTGAATTTTACCTGATGAATGAAAATTACACATCTATTTCTACTGCCAAGGTATCTTTTTAGGTATCGTTCAGTGTGCTTCTGCTCCACACAAGAATGTGACTGCTGTTGTAGCTAAAACTGGAATGAAATACTGTTAGTGAGTCTGGAACTGCTCAAATTTCACAGTAAGTCTGTGAAGGCAATACATGCCTGAAAAGCTGCATCAGTGTAGTTTACCTCTTTTTTTTTTTTGGAAACCAGGGACAAACATCTTAATTTTTTTCTATTTATGATTTTAAGGGCTGACTGTGATTTCAGATAACTGGTTTAAAGGGCTTAAACAAAAGTACCACTGCCAAAGGTTTGTGCGTGTTTATATAGAGAGTATCTTTAAATACAGCTTGCTTCTTGTTGATTTACACATTTAATTTAAAGTTTATAATTTGTATAGACTGCTGATATAAACTGATTTAGTTGACTTGATAAAACATGCTTTCAGTACAACTCACCGGAGCACTAAAGAAGTTATTTAAAGGGAGTTTGCAGAAAGACGTCTGTGATATGTTCTCTTATACCTTTCCTACTTGCTTTTGTCACAATGAATTAATAAATGACTGCACAACTAAGAAATGTTTCCTGTTTGTGTTGATGTGTATCTGTAATACCAGACTTTTAAGACACACGGTACAATAACACATGGAATAAGTGAAAGTCCGGTTTCTGTACTTAAATGTACATAAATGCTCAACCATGACTAAATTGTTCTGGGTGGAAAAAAACAACCAAAAAATGTACTTTATTCACCAGTGATGCATCACAAAACGGACAGCTCGGATTTATAGGTGTCCCCCAAGTCAACCAGTCAATGTAATCTGTCGGAGATGAGAGAGAAGTTTGCATTCCTCCATGACCACAGCTAGATAATATAAAGCCTGTCCGAAATGATGTGTATTATCTAGTAGTTTAATATTTGCTATACTATAAGAATTCTTCATTTCAAAAGCCAAATATTTGAGTTTCTTCTACCCTTCAGTGGATGTTAAATTTCTAAGAGTCCAAGTTGTTAGTGAGTTGAGACTCATTCCCAGGGTGCCATGAACTAGTGCAGAATCACATCTAACTGGAGCGGCCTTGGATGAACCTCCTCCTGTATCTGTGAATACGCTGACTTGCATAATGAAAGCATAGAAAACATGTCACTCATGTCATTTTATTTATTGCACTTTTCAGTGCAACTGAAACAAGAAGTGGTTTTCCAGTATGACACTGCAGCCAGGTGAAATGATCTGTGCTAACAATTGGACTACACTATGTAATGCATTGAATATTTTTGATTGCTAAAACATTGACCACATACTAACAACCATGATGACTATTCTTTCTGCCACTATAGGGTTTTCCACCAGACAGTATGTGATTATGTTAGCATGGGGGAAACATTTACACATTGTGATGTCATAAAAGAAAACACAATGGTGCAAAGAAACAGCCAGCAGACAGTCACCCTCCATCCACCCTATGTGCCCACAGTGCTTCAAACTGAACGTTCATTGACAATACACTGCAACAACAGAACTACGCTAACATTGTGTCTTTTTCTTAAGAAATGAACTCTATCTGAGCAACTTTTTTTCCATCACCTGTCACACAGGTATTAGTGAAATCTCACACAGCAGCTAAATGGAAATTTATACCGAGATCATTCAATACTTGGTTGCATTATTTACTATCGTACAATTTATGCAACATGTTTATCTCCTCTGGAGACGTACAGTACATTTCGTCTACATTTTCTGACTGGTTGTCTTTGTTAAATGATAAAGCTGTGTGACTTTGTAATACTGACGTTTTATTTCAAGACAATTTGATCATTTTAGAGTCCAGAGATAATCTAAATACTGAGCCCCGGGAAAAACGTCTAATTTTGTATTTCTTTGAATAATCTTTCAACCTTCCAAAATATTGACTTTCAGTTCTAATTCTAAAACATTTGCATTAGTGTTTCCCCTAATAAATACAGTATGTGACTATGAACTCACTATACATACACAGTGTTTCTCTTTTCTCACTTTCCAGATTTCCCTGTCCCTCTTCAGTTGTTGGAGTTAATGTCTGCCTCATCTTTATCCTCACTGCTCTCCTTGAAGCTTTCCTTCTTGGCCCCTTCTTTCTCCCTCTGGCTGCTCTTGGAAGAGCCGGCTGAGGCTCGGGCCTGGAAGCTGTAGCTGGTTGCACCAAACGACATCCCCGAGTTAAAGTGAGTCTCCTCCCCCTCCAGCAGTTTCCTGATGGGATCAAACAAAACAAATGTCAGACTGGACACACAGACTTAATGCACCTCACAATGCGTAAAGATTTCTAATGAGCCTACTAGTCAAGAGATCTTTTGTATGGTTTGCCCTTTTAATCCAGCCAGCACCTGTAGGCAGCTATCTCAATGTCCAGGGCCATCTTGACATTGAGCAGGTCCTGATACTCTCTCAGGTGCTGGGCCATCTCACTCTTCATATTCCTCAGCTCAGTATCCAGGTGGCCAATAGTGTCCTGTTATAGAATAAATAAGAATGGAGTTAGATGAGAGTGAAGCAGAGAGATTGCCTTTGTGTCCAACACAGTATTTGGAGTAAATTCACCTACCTATGTATATTTAATCTACTGTGTCATAGGCTTTCCTGTGGTATAACCGCTGACCATAGGATTTCCTTTTATCCTTAAAGGGATAACAATAACCTGTGAGGCTTAACTTTACCTGCTCTAAAACGCCAGTGAAAGCAGATGGCCTTCCTGTATGGGATTTAGCAGGTCAGAGGTTAATCTAAATGACACACAGGGTCAATTCACTAATAACTGTTTCAGTCGGTCTCACAGTCACAGGCTTGTTAAAGTGATTACCACACACTAAAGGTGTGACCTCAGACTTTGAACCTGAATTAGACGATCTTGACGCTAAGTAGTCAAAGTCTTCATTTCAAATTTCCCAAAACCAAAAACTCAGAGCATCAAGAGTGGTGAGTATGGCATTGCTGTTCAGATACCAGTAATGACATGTTCATGGATAATTTTTGAGACCCAGCAATTATACCAGTACTGAGAGCCAAAACTGGGCCCAAGAGGTTTACAGACAAATTATAATAATCAGAGAGCGTATGAGGGATTGTTTTAAATGATTGTCGGTATGCTGGATTCCTTTTGCTTCTACTCTGGCCATGACATCTCTAAGTTGTGTGCTCCGTGCTGTGCGAGGTTAGCTAACAGCTTTACTTAAGCTGTCACATAATTCATGAGGAACTTGACCCTGAGATCTGCTCCCTACCAATCCTATTACTACTCTGCAGAGTTGTAGACAGTAATGACAGCAGTGCTGCAGCAGGTGACTTTCTTTTCCCCCAGCACATTTTAAAAGTAGACCATTTACAACTCAGAAAGTGCACGTGTAATATCTTAATGTCCAAGGACTGCATCAAAGTAACAGTATTTGTTATCTTGTGCTTGTTTAATGCCTGCTAAAGATTTTCTCATCTCTTTTGTAGAGTTTTATGCTATACAGTTATACTGGCACAGCAACTATGTATACTATGAGTATACTATGAGATTTTGGTGTATTTGGACACAATATCCTTATTTTGTGTTATACTTAAAAAGACAAATATTAAAGGGTTGCTTCACCCAAATGATATAGGTTTTGTTTTTTTTAAACAACAACAAAAAACATTTTCATATTTATCACTTGTGGTATCTGGCTATAGATTTGTCTGTTGTTTGTCGTTGAGGTAGTTTACATTCTACAGTTACAAAACTTTCCTACTACATGTCTGTATTTCTCCACCAGTATTTTATTCCTGGCAGTGTGAAAAGGGCTTTGAAACAACAACTAGATCTTCAGACTGGGAAATGAAACAGTAAGGCATGCAGTAAATTAGTTTCATGGAAAGAACTGTGTAATCTGGCAATAATTGTAGCGGGGGAAAAAAGAGAACTAACGAGAATGTTTTGTGCCAATTGCTATGGCCCTACTGGATACCCAGGAGAAAGTCTGTCAGTTTTTGTGTAATTTGAGTGAAAAAACCCTTTTAGGAGACCAGGGTACAGTAATCCTGATAGCAACATAAAGCCTACTATATGTTCCCCTGATTTATCCCAGTTACAGAATACTCACTATTCTATTTAATGACTATGATTGCTTGCCTGCATAGCTGTGACTTCAGTGTTGTGTGCATCCTCCATCTCTGTGATCTGCCTCTCCAGAGACTCATTGGTGCCCCTCAGGGTCTCTATCTCAATGGTCTTGGACTGCAGCTGCCTCCTGAACTCATTGATCTCCTCCCTGCTGGCCCTCATGGCCTCGTTGCTCCTGGTGGCCTGCTCGCTGAGGCTGGCAAACTTGCTCTTGTACCACTCATCAGCCGACTGCAGGTTTTTGGAGGCGATGGACTCGTACTGGTTGCGGATCTCCTTCAGAGCTGAGGTGAGGTCCGGTTTGGCGAGCTCGAGCTCCACGGAGACCTGCTGCGCCTCCAACATGCTGCTCAGCTCCTGGATTTCTTCATCGTGCACTTTCCTCAGGAAGGAGATTTCGTCCATCAGCAACTCCACGCGGCGCTCCAGGTCCAGGCGAACTGCTGTGGCGTCATCGACGTCCTTTCTGAAGGACCTCAAGGTCTGTTCAGCTTCTTCCCGTGCCCTCACCTCCTCATCATACTTCACATTGAGCTTCTGAAATGAGATAGGATAAGGAAAGGTTTAAAACATGAGATGAAAGTTTAGACATGACAAAGAGAACACATGAAATTATGACTCAAAAACAAATGACTTGTGATTTCTGTGGGGAAATTAGACTTAGCAGCAGTAAATATTAAGAGAAGAAAACATCTCCTTGCATACGCCTTATCCTATTTAAAACTACCCAGTGCATGTACCTGCAGCTCCTCCTCCATGTTGTTCCTCTCGATCAGGATGTGGTTCTTGTCCCTGCTCAGCTCCTCCACCTGTGACCGCAGGTCCTTCATCTCCTGCTGGTAGAGATGAGCGATGCGGGACGGCTCGGTCTGCTTCTGCCGCAGTGTCGCCAGCTCCATCTCCAACACTTTATTCTGCTGCTCCAGGTGCCGGACTTTATCAATGAACATGGCAAAGCGGTCATTCAGACCCTATGCAACAGGATAAACGCTTGTTTATCATCACACAAAAGCTTCCATTACGGATGCAATACCAGACACACAGCAAAGCAGAGGAATATGATTTGCTTAACCTTAAACTTGTTATAAAGCTGCATTTATCATCATTTACCATCAAAACTTATTTTAATAGCTTATATTTCTGAACACACTGTGAATCAATTAATAACTTACAATGTGTTAAAGCTGCAATTGATACGCTTACAGGTATATTAATTGGGAGCACAATCTCTAAACACAAATTTACATGTAACCTTGTTGATTTGGCATGTTAGCAAACAAATGCCACTTGCACATTTATGCTGTGTTTGAAACGGGTAAAAATGCTGTCTCAGGAGGTGTCTAACTGGACAGCGATCACATTGAGTGCTGTTCGGAACAGTTTGAAGAATCTTTTTCTGTCTCGTAAGATGCCTTCAAACTTCCCATGTAACAGTCAGTTTTGAAGGCAGCATCGATGATGCTTGATGCTGCTTATTACCCAGAAATCTGTGTTTGGGAGTTTGTGAAAAGTGGACAAGATGGTGGACAAACAAGCCAAAAATTGTCTACAAATAGTAGTTTTGAAAAAAAAAATTATTTTTTTGAAAAGTTAGTGAGCTAAACACTGAACTGTCATATTAGCCCATGACTGCAACCAACCAAGTTTATTCAGTATAATTTCTGAGGTGTCTGAGCCATTCACCTGTTCATTAGCTAGCTAGCTGACGCTAAGGCTAGTGGCTGACAGCCAGATGAGACACAAGATAGCGTGCTGACGTCACACGTTGCTGTAAATGCTGTCCTAAAAGGCTGTTTGAAACCAGTGTTCATAGAGATGCCTTCACACCAAAGTAATGCCTTCTGAGGTACCTTTCTATTACGGTAGTGAGGCAACTGCCTTCTGTTTTGAACAGAGCCCTAGTGTGTTTCTGGACACCTGATAAAATTAACCCAATATTCACTCTCCTTTTAGTTCTGTTTTGGTCTCCAGAAACATCTGACTTTTTAGCTGCTAAATGTTCCACTATGTTCACCAGCTAGGTGCTAACTTTGTCTGCAATTTGCTGCTGCAGGAAGTGTACAGTGGGTTTATCTGAGCCTTTTCACTGAAAACAGCAGACAGCTACGACTGGAAATGAGGCTGATGATAGCTGGGGGGGGGGAGACTGCTGAGTCGGGTGATTATTTTCTGTGTCACTACAAGTGACCCCTTTAACACAGAGTAATTTGATCCATTGTTCATATGAAAAAAATTGATTGTGCAGCTTTAAAAAATGGGGCTGAACTGAAGAAAAGCTCCCATCGATCCCACTGATGATTTCTGTTACTGCCTTGCTGACATTGTTGTGATGGTAATCAGTTTTCTCCTCCAGGAGGAAGTAATAAATCAGAACTGCAGTGTTAAATCCAGACAGTTTCCTAAACCGCAGACAGACAGCACTCACAAGAGAAAGCTAGCTTCACCAATTAGATAAGAGAAACTAAATGGAATTCATTCAAGCCATCATTCATTTATTTATTTACACCTGTGCTTTTCTTACTATGACCCTGCCTAAAATTCAGGTTTTCAGTTGTTGTAGCTCTTCCTGCCATTTAGGTTGCCATGTATAGCAAGCAGCTCACTGACTCTGTGTGTAGGTCTTGAAGACATTTTGATGTGACGCACTCCAGGTCACATAGCCTATAGGCTAGACAGAGAATGGACTTCACAGTGAAGGAGGAGACGTTTTGTGACCACCAGCCAGCTTCTGAACTTTTTGTGTAAACTATTTATAGATTCTGGATTTGTCAAGGAGTAGGTAGACATTTAACTTTCTTTTGTGAAAATAAAAATAACTTTCAAGATTAGGTCATTGTGACACTAGAAGTTTAATTTAATATAAAGGGATTATACGAAACATAATATAGTGCCTGGCCTGATCCTGAAGGACTGGGACACCAGAATTGGAAACTAATTTACCATCATCATCATCACCACCTTATTAGCTGTGTGAAGTGTCAAAACATGATGGTTCTGCGATAAAATGTCCTGATAGAAGCTGTTGAACAAAAGCTTACTGTATCAACTATATAAGCGACTACCTCTACTGGGAAAGTCATGCCCATTAAATGCTAATTCATTGTCTAAAACTACAGGCTGTCAAAAATGGATTTTTTTTAAAATGGTGTTATTTAGTTTCAACCAGCCACACATACCTGCAGCTGCTCCTTCTCGTTCGTTCTAATTACTTTCAATTCATTGTTGACCACGGAGGTCTGGATCAGGTCGAGGGAGTCTGCGCGCACCGGAGAGAAAGAGGTGGAGGACCGGCTGCCGACCCGTCTGTACATGTTCAGGGAGGATGCGCTGTTGTGGGACGCAGCCATGGACCTGAGCCCCGGGGGGGCCCGAGGAGAGGCGCTGCTCATGCGAGAGGAGGAAATGGAAAACCTGGGGGAATCCCCGAAAATCTTCCGGTAGGATGACGAGGTGTAACGGTCTCCGTGGCTCATCTTTGCTGTGAGTCAGATTTAAAACTGAGGGGCTTAAAGAGCTTTGCAGGAGCTTAGAAACAGCAGGCTGCAAGTGGAGCGAACCATTTTACGCACGACGGTACACGACAATTTAACATTTGTGCCTTGGAGTGAACACGTTTTTTTTTTTTCAAGTGATCAAAACAAACACTGATGTACATTTATTCCAGACTCATTTGAGATGTATTCATTAATTGCAAATGTGCACGAAAGCACTCTATAGTGCAACACTTTAGTTGTTTGCCCCCACTCATCATGAGCTGAACTCAAAGATCTAAGACTTTCTCTATGTACACAAAAGGCCTGTTTCTCTCAAATATTGTTCACAAATCTGTCAAAATCTGTGTTAGTGAGCACTTCTCCTTTGCCGAGATAATCCATCCACCTCACAGGTGTGGCATATCAAGATGCTGATCAGACAGAGTGGGGATTGCACAATAAAAGGCCACTAGAAAATGATTATCGTTTCACTGTATTGGGGGGTTCGGAAACCAGTCAGTATCTGGTGTGACCACCATTTGCCTCACGCAGTGCAACACATCTCCTTCGCATAGAGTTAATCAGGTTGTTGACTGTGGCCTGTGGAGTGTTGGTCCACTCCTCTTCAATGGTTGTGCGAAGTTGGAGAGGGCTTATTGTAGAGAAATGAACATACAATTCCCGGCCAACAGCTCTGGTGGACATTCCTGCAGTCAGCATGCCAATTGCATGCTCCCTCAAAACTTGCGACATCTGTGGGATTGTGCTGTGTGACGGAACTGCACATTTTCTAGTAGCCTTTTTTTTATAATTTTGTTCAGTGTAAAAAAATCGGGAACATGGGGGCCATAGCACCTGCCTTATATATATATATATATATATATATATATATATATATATATATATATATATATATATATATATAATTCTAGTTTTATAGGATAATGCTGCCGATATTAAATATTTTTTTTAAAGGAAACAAACCCCACGAAATTTCACAAACCAAAAATGTCGGGCCTTTTCATTACTTTCCAATGCCCATACTCTGGCCCACATGTTTCTCATGAAAGAAATGCAAATAAATGGTTGCAGTTTTAATTTAAACAAAAACGGTTGTTTCCTAAAACAGATGCGCACTAGCAACTCAAACAGGAGTAAATTGTATATGTTCACCAGTTCACCAGGGTTGATCTTGCCCTGACTGCATCCTGCAGCAGCTCATCAACTATCAGCCCTTCCCAAATTCACCTGCTCAGTGAGCACCTGATGCTACTGCGGTCCAGCAGCTCCCCCTCTCTGCCACTCAAAACCCTGCTTCTCATGGACCGAGCAGGAAAAAGAAAATGTCCTTCATAGCGCTTTGACTTTAAGTACAATACACTTTCTGAGTTGTTCTCTACTAGGCCTATAATAAAGCACACTTTATTTTAACATCAACAGGCGTAGATTCATCAAAAATAATTCCCACATTCATTATATGGATATGGGAATATACAGTAGGAGAGCACAGTATCAACTACCATGATGAGGGTAATCACATTATCAAACAACTAACCGGGGGCCAGGATGTATTCCTACATAGAGTACTGTACACGCTGCACCGAGTAGGAAGGAGGCATTAATAGGCCCAGCAGTTACTTTTTACCCCAGGCACTCCAGCAGATCAGATGAATCAGGCCATGGCTTTACACCTGAGAATCCCAGAGAACGCTGTGGATTCACAGGTAGTGCAGAGTGACTCGCAGTGTATAGTTACTCCACAACATTTCATTAATCTCACTTATAGATCCTTACCAGGGAGGAAGCTACACAATGTGATCCACTTTCCAATACTGTTGTTGGTTATTACACCACAGCATCACAATTCACAATAATGAAAAATCAAACGGGCATTAATTTCATCATTTTCAGCTTTATAGCATAAAAGTGAACATTGTTTGGTTTTAAAAATTGGCTGACATTTTAACCATGGAGAAGAACATGTGACTCATCTGAGACAAATGTTTAAAAAGTTACATAACAAAACTACATTATAACAAAGCTTTCTGGAGAGATTTATACAGGTCATGCTGGGAACAGTCTTTCTAAACAACTTGATCTGATGAGCAGTGAACGATTGGTTGTCCATTCAGTCCACTCATGCATTGTGTAAGTTCTGAAATGGTTCCAAAAACTAAAAAAAATGTCATCATAACTAAATGTTTTGTGTTATGTTATAAAGACACTTCTGTTGAAGTCTGAGGAATGGCTTTGTTAGCTGCTACAACAGATTTCTTTTGATTTAAATCTTGATCATTTATATTTCAAAGTTCAAACAGCTTATTTATATCAAATAATATAAGTTAACCTTTTTAAAGTGCAGTATATTTGTCCCTATGTGTTTAAACACATGCATCACAGTAGATTCTTTTTAAATTTGAGCATTCCTCAATGAAACTTATAATTACAGATAGCTGCTGGCAAACTGCAATAAAATTAGAAAAGTGTTTCTGTTTTTTGCTAATTCTTGCGGACTCAAATGATGATGATCTGATGACTGCAGAAATTGACTTTATTGAGCAACAGTGCAAAGGCTTATAGAATAATGACAAGTCACACTAACAGAGCAAGCTAACTGGCAGTCCTTTTAAGGGAGCGGGCTGGAAATTTAGGGCACTACATATGTCTAAGCAGCCTTTAGATTTTCATGTTCTTGGGGAGAAATTTTTGGAATAGAAGGACATCTGTCATTCAGAAACTCCCAGAAAGTTTGTTGATGCAGAATCAGGAGAGCAGAGATGATTTCTGCAGTTCAGTGTCTTCAGTATAAAGAAAGTGTCCCTCTAGGTGTGACAGGCAAGGTACAATTAAATGTTTAGCTTGCTGGCATGTGCTACTCTTCAGGTATAGTTCTGGAGTGAGGACAGAGCATGAAGAAGCTTCTGGTACGGACGAGATGAGGGGGATACGTGAAGGGGCGCTGTCATCTTGGGAGAGGAGCAAGAGTTGGTTGGTGGTGAACATGGAGGATCGGGAGGAGGAAGCATCTATGATGTAGAGGGAATTGTCTGCACAGCTGATGATCCGCTCCTGGTGGATCTGGAAGTCTGTGAAAATGTGTTGTATTAGAATCATACATCATCAAACTTCTATTCAAAAAATCCCATTGCAGTCAATTGAAGGATTATTTACATGGCTTGATCATTTCTAATGCAAATTAAAAAATCCGATTGAATTGAAAATGCATGGCTAGACACTAAGACACAACCAAATATCTCATACTGCTGTGCATCAAACTGATGCCTACCTTGAGTGCTAAGTCTAGTTGGAAGAAGAAGAGCTCTTTATGGTAGATGAAGATCTGCATCCCAGTGTGGTTTTCCATATCGTGTAGGTTCATGCTGATGGCTGAGTGCTCTTCCTGCACACAAAATGAGACATGATGTACATTTTTACAAAATATGCAGCTTTTATTGATCAGCCCAGGCATGCTATTATTACTAACTTTTTTTTTTTTGCGTTTTATCTAAAAGGAAACTGAGTAATAACTTTTTCTTTCCTGTTAATGCTAAATAGGGGGTGATAATTATTAATAAGGATGCACGTAATGAATGGAGGATGTGGCTGAATCTTACTGTCAGAAGCAGACAGAAGGCAGGGCTGCACGTGGAGGTGGCAGTACAAGTTGCTGAAAGAGGCTGTAGGTGAAGGGTCAGGCTGCAGCTGTCTGCAGGAATCTGGAGGTGGAGACCGTGGCTGGAGGTTGCTGGTGAATGCTGCAGGCAGGAGCCGGAAGAGTCTGTAGGTGGAGATTCTGGTTGTAGATGTCTGGCAGAATCGACAAGTGGTGTCAGAATGAGGATTGAGAAACATTGCTGCAGTATACTGGCATGGGGTTACCCAAAGCAACCAGATTACCGGAAATTGAAAACAACAGGGTTACATACTGAGAAAACTCGTCCTGAAGTTGGTATGGAGATGCAAAGTCTGCAAGAAGAGGCAAATGGAGGCCACCAAGAGCTGTCCGTGGAGGATGTGGCTGCATCTGACTGTCAGAAGCAGACAGTAGGCAGGGCTGTAAGTGTTTGCTATATTCTGCAAGTAAAGTCTGGAGATAAAACTGGTTAGAAGAAGCTTAAGGCAGTGGCTGAGAATGCAGCTGGTTACCAGAGGTGGCAGGTGGAAGCTGCAGGCTGTCGTAGCGGCTGTAAGTGGAGGTTTGATCCTCAGCTGTCTACCAGAATCTGCAGGTGGAGGCAGGACCTGCAGGGCTCTGGCAGAAACAACTGTTACAGTCTGGGGGTGGAGGTGGAAGCTGCAGGCAGGAGCCGGAAGAGTCTGTAGGTGGAGATTCTGGTTGTAGATGTCTGGCAGAATCGACAAGTGGTGTCAGAATGAGGATTGAGAAACATTGCTGCAGTATACTGGCATGGGGTTACCCAAAGCAACCAGATTACCGGAAATTGAAAACAACAGGGTTACATACTGAGAAAACTCGTCCTGAAGTTGGTATGGAGATGCAAAGTCTGCAAGAAGAGGCAAATGGTGGCCGCCAAGAGCTGTCCGTGGAGGATGTGGCTGCATCTGACTGTCAGAAGCAGACAGTAGGCAGGGCTGTAAGTGTTTGCTATATTCTGCAAGTAAAGTCTGGAGATAAAACTGGTTAGAAGAAGCTTAAGGCAGTGGCTGAGAATGCAGCTGGTTACCAGAGGTGGCAGGTGGAAGCTGCAGGCTGTCGTAGCGGCTGTAAGTGGAGGTTTGATCCTCAGCTGTCTGCCAGAATCTGCAGGTGGAGGCAGCACCTGCAGGGCTCTGGCAGAAACAACTGTTACAGTCTGGGGGTGGAGGTGGAAGCTGCAGGCTGTCGTAGCGGCTGTAAGTGGAGGTTTGATCCTCAGCTGTCTGCCAGAATCTGCAGGTGGAGGCAGGACCTGCAAGGCTCTGGCAGAAACAACTGTTAAAGTCTGGGGGTGGAGGTGGAAGCTGCAGGCTGACGTAGCGGCTGTAAGTGGAGGTTTGATCCTCAGCTGTCTGCCAGAATCTGCAGGTGGAGGCAGCACCTGCAGGGCTCTGGCAGAAACAACTGTTACAGTCTGGGGGTGGAGGTGGAAGCTGCAGGCTGACGTAGCGGCTGTAAGTGGAGGTTTGATCCTCAGCTGTCTGCCAGAATCTGCAGGTGGAGGCAGCACCTGCAGGGCTCTGGCAGAAACAACTGTTACAGTCTGGGGGTGGAGGTGGAAGCTGCAGGCTGACGTAGCGGCTGTAAGTGGAGGTTTGATCCTCAGCTGTCTGTCAGAATCTGCAGGTGGAGGCAGCACCTGCAGGG